ATCCTGCGGTGGTTGAGCGCTTTTGTCCCCGTTGGTAAGCCGCTCGCTCTCAATGCCCCAAACCCTTGTATATGGTTTCAAAACTAGGCTGGGTTATCACCACTTTTGAGAGTGAAAAATGTTGGTAATGTCCAGCAGCCTGGTCTTTTGTTCAGAGTACGATCTTTTGTTACAGGGCCCTGTTCCCCTTTGTTCAAGTTCGGAGGCCCTGGCCACGCATATAAACCATACGTCTCCGATTCCGGAGTCCCCGGCAGGAAGTGATTAACCTGTGTTCACCATGCCTTTGTTATTAATTTACAAATTCCAAACTTCAAAACAGTGTGCAATAAAACCTTTCATTTTATATGTTTTCAATGATGTAGTTATTACTTTTACCTATTCAAACAAAATCAGTACTTGAAATTTTTTGAGGAGAACACCAGTCCTAAAATTAATCAGCCAAACACAGATTCACTAAAATAAAGGACTTGTTTCATTCTCTCTTTGCAGTTAGGCCTGTTGTGTGCCATCATTGCTCACGTCATCTGCTCAGTCTTCTCCATGTTCTCGGCCAAGGTTCTCATGCATATGTGCGTGGCTTATGCTTGATGCTGTTTTAAAATTTGGGAGAGAAAAATCCATGAACTCGGCCAGGTAAGAGCAACTGCATCTAGTAACAAACCAGATGGAGTATCAGTGATTCCAAGATGGTTCTCTCCAACATATGCCCGCGGCAAAGTAGCAGAGCTCAAATCTTAAGCTTTGGTCTTCCAGATCTTTCAAAGAAACCAGTAAGAAGTTTGGAAGATTTTGTAGGATGTAGGAAGATAGAGCCAAGCGAGTATTACCTTGCATGATGCTCCACTGTCCCTTGAAAGTTGAAGTTCAAAGACTGTGCCGTTAGTTCCCTGCACAGTGGAGGATCCCCTGCACAGTGGAGGATTCCCTGCACAGTGGAGGATCCCCTGCACAGGGGAGGATTCCCTGCACAGTCGAGGATTCCCTGCACAGTGGAGGATTCCCTGCACAGTGGAGGATTCCCTGCAAAGTGGAGGATTCCCTGCACTGTGGAGGATTCCCTGCACAGTGGAGGATCCCTGCTCAGTGGAGAATTCCCTGCGCAG